TTTTACCCCATAATTCCATTTTCAAACAAGTTAGAAAATGTGGCTTCTCTGTCCCAAGTTTGGCATATGCAATATCCTGCTGCTCTTATACAAAACTATGATGTGACCACACTTAAAATACTGTGTATAGTTTTGGTAACTGCATCTAAGAAAAGTTTCTGTAAAGTTGGAAAAGGTGCAGAAAAGAGCAACTAAAATTTTCAAGGACCTGTAGCAACTCTTCTGTGGGGAAAGGTTACAACATCTGGGATTGTTTAGTTTAGAAAAGTGGCAAGCGAGGAGAGACATGCATACAAGATTATGCATGCCCTGGTGGAGGAAGTGGATAATTCTCCCTCTTTCATAATACTAAAGCCTGGAGGTCATTGCATGAAAATTATTGATGGGAAATTCAGGGCAAATAACAGGAAGTATTTCTTCATATTGCACTTAGCTAAACTATAGAATTCATTTCCACAAGATGTAATGAAGACCCCCAGTTTGGGTGGACTGAGAAGGAGAATGGATAAATTTATGGAATGGCTACTGCTCCTGATAGCTATATGCTGTCTCCAGTATTAGAGGCAGTGCGCCTATTCACACCAGTTTCTGGGGGATATGGGCAGGTAGGGCACTGTTGTATTCATATTTTGTTTGTGGGTTTCCCATGGACACCTGGTTGGCTCCTGTGCGAACAGAATGTTGGGCTAGATAGAGCAGAACTCTTCTGTCTGGAAGTTTACATCTCTAATCCTAGACAACCTGCAACAATGGCCTTTGGTTTTGTTGTGCTGCACCTTTTATGCTTGAGTTGCTGGCAGACATTTGTACATGCTAGGAAGTTTGGTTTCTGTAAATGGGTAAAATGCATTCTTGAGGCAATATTGGGGTTGGTTCTACAAGAAGTTCTTAAAAGATGGTTAATGGAAGCTCAAGCACTTGTGGATCGAATCTATCATTTTTATCCATGAAATATGTTTGGACTTAACTTTTAAGAATCAACACTAACTGTCCTGATTTCCTTGCGGAGATCAAATAGTTTTCTGCTGGGGGCATATTTTTAAATAGTTGCAGTTACAGAACTTTAGCAAGTGAATGTTGCCAGTTGAAATACCAGGCATACTCAGCCATGCTTTTTTCCCTTCAGCATACTTTTGTTGTTTGAAGCTGTTATATATACCTCTTGCCTGATAGTTTGTACTTTCATCTTGCTTTTTCTAGAGATGTTGCTACAGACTAAAAACTCTATCAAGGTTTGAAGTCTGTTTGGCTATAGGACAGATCTTGCTTAAACGATGTATTATCTGTGGTACAGAACTGCCACTGAAATGTATTTTGGTGTGAGTGGACATTGTAAAAAGGTTATTCATAGGATTGTGGACTGTTGAGGAGATCTTGGGAAGGCATTTGATAAAATGTTTGGGGCCCTGCCTGCTGCCTGATCAAATCCAGATGGGTTGAACTGGTGAACTAAACATTAACTATTTATCAGATTTCTATCCTGCCTTTTTCTTTTTTTAAAAAGAACTCAAAGCGGGTTATATCATTTTCCTTCTCCTCTCAGTCTTATCCCCACAACAATAATCCTGTAAAGTAGGTTGGGCTGAGAGTGTGTGACTGGTCCAAAGTCACCCAGGTGGCTCCACGGCTGAGCAGGGATAAGTATCCAGATCGCCTGAGCCCCCATCCTGTGCTCTTAACCACTACACCCCACTGGTTCTCCATGTGGTGTACTATACTGCAAAAACTCTCCACAGTGGATCTTACTTGTTTATAGCCTGAAACTGTTTCCATATGCACTAAGGAAGTGATGGTTCAACTTTCCACTTCTACTCTTTGTGGATTAACCAGTGAAATTGTTTTAGGTTCAGTTGATAAGGATGCTAAGATATTGTTGTATACGATAGTTATAGTTATTGGATTTATACGATAGTTGTAGTTATTGGATTTATGCATCCCCCTCAAAAAAAGGCTTGGGCTATAAAATCTAGTGGAGAAACTATGCTCCAAATTACCTATAAACCACAGGGATAAAAAGACCCTGCTGACTGGCATTCTCCCCCACTTTTAAATTGCTTTAGCCATTGATTTACCTCTGGGATGAAACTAAGATTAGCTTAGACAAGCTGTTTCTATATGCACTAAGAATAGGTTAAGCAATACTGGGAAACTCTAAACCCTTGTGAGAGAAAAGATGTGGGGCCCAAGCCTCTTGAGCACAAATCTACATGAAAATAGCATCTGTTGATTTACATCTATGTATGTAAATATAGAAGTAATTAAGATTAATTATTTCAGAAGAGGAAAAAGCAAAAAATTACTTTCTCAGCCAAGTAATCTCAAATACAGTAAATTCTTCAATTAATCACAAATGATGGCAAAAGATCCCTTTCCTCATTTGCCAGGAAGGGATAAATTTATTTGGGATGCCAGTCTTAATCCTTCACTGCCATAATTGTTGAAATTTTTCCTCTGTGTGGCAATTAAGAAAAAGATCTCCCATTGGCAACAATAGACACTCAAACCTCTTGGGAATAGATCCAGAGCCATAGGAAATAGATTTGAGGACAAGGCCCCATGAACCCAGGCCTAGCTGTACCCCTACTTAAGGCTGTATTGTTTGGAAAACAAGGCGCTACTGCTTGTTGTTGTGTTGGTTGGTTGCTTTAGATATCCAGCTATATGAAAGGACCCACATAGTGTGACTTTTTTGCCATTCAGGCTCTGAGTACATAATATGATTTTTTCATTTAAGTTTGTTCTGTGTTGACCTGTGGCTTTCCACTCTGTCACGTCCTGCCTCTCAAAAGAGAGGGATTGTCACTGCAAAGGAAATGTGAAACCTGTCCAGCGTCTTCTGAATGGACCAAAATGACTATGAAGTAGTAAGCACTGTAAAGTTGCTCTTGCACCTCCCACATTTGTTTTAACTGGGCTCCACCATTTAAGATCACAGTAAAAATTAGCAATCTTCTTGTATGTAGAAAAAAATGGGCAAGATTAGAGCATCTAACTGCAAGCTCATAAAACTGTGTTGCATCACCTCTGGCTTAAACTCCATAGCAATTTAACCATCTAGTACTAAATGGAACAGGAGGCATATCTAAGATACACATTAGATATTGCTCTTTGGAATTTATAGATTTCAGCATCTGTTCTTTTAATGGGAGGATCAGGTTGCACAGTGACACTGAGTAGTTACACCAGTCAGTTCATGTTACTGTTTCATGCAGTATGGTTTTATCCACTGCTGTTGCTTGGTATGTCTGATGCTGCCTTTTAGGCTGCCAGTTAGATGAGTCCGAGTGCCCATCTGACCTCTACACTCCAACACTGACCCACCTCTGGGTGGCTTATAAACTGGGCACAAAGTCCACAGCTCCTCGCGGACTGTGTCTAGCATTAGGTAATTGCAGGCACACTGTCTCTCAGCACAGATGCTTTTGCTAATAGCCTTTGGTAGAGCTTTCTTCCATTATTAAGTCTCTTTCTCTTTAAAAGCCACTTACAGAGGTATAACCCTTAGGACACATCCTTAAACTATTGGCTTTTTTTCTCATCTTGTGGTGAATGCTGTGGATTGTGTGTTGTGTAAAACAGTCATTCCGTCTGAATGCAGCCTGCCAGAACAAGAGGAGTCTTGGAGGAATGGTTAGAGGGGCTGTTGAATCATTTTGCTTCTCTTACTGTGTCCTGCTCTATCCCCCTTCACTGCCAAGGGAGCTAGAAATTCCCCCAGTCCCCTGCAGATCAAGGTTGGGTACCTACTTTATAATCCAAAGTGTTCTTCTCCCCATCCTCCCTCCTTGAAACAAGAATGTCTCTGAATACCAAGCATTGTCGTAAGAGACTCTTTGGGCAATTCAATTAGTATTTTCTTATTCTGTGCTCTTATTTTGAAGATTTATTTAAAAGCAATTCTGCTTTGGAGTAGGCATGGCAGGTAAGAGGGTTCTAGAAGGGGCTGTACCAGTGGTAGTCCAGCAATAGAGCAGAATATATGCCTTGCATGAAGACGGTCTCATGTTCCTTCTTTGACATCCCTACTTAAATGGTATTTTGCTTTAATGGAGGTTAGAAAGAATTTAGTCTGAGACCTCAGAGAGTTGTTTTTGGTGAACAACTTTGAAAACAGACCATACCGGAATCTGTTGGTATCAGTAGCAATTTGATATTCAACAAAGTTGACTCCTGTACAGAACCACTACGGAGAACCCAGTGTTGGTTTTTTAAAATGTGGTTTTTAAATTACATTTGAACATGGTTACAGTGAGGAATCAGATGAGTGCATGGTCATAACTCAGGTATGGAGTGAGGCATTTCCAACATACCACAATGTTGATTATTCTAAAGCACTTAACAGTAGCTTTGCTCCCTAAAACTCTGTTAAAACTTAAGTGATGGGATGATTGCTATGTCCTACATCTGTCAGAATCACTAGGATATTCTTATGCATGATCACCTTCTTATAGGAGAAGGGAGGATTTATTGTTTTAGTTGCTGCCATTGACTTACTAAGAATTTCCAGAGCTGTTTTCCGCATTATTTTGGAAAAAGACCAAGAGGAATTTTATTACTGGACACCTGTTTTAAATGCTCTGAATAAAATTCTTTTGCAGGGAGGATTTAGAATTTCTGTAAGAAAGGCCATACATTAGCCTCAGCCTTTTTATCCCTCCAGATTAGAGGTAAAATACTAAACATTCAGCTTAAATTGTTTAAAGCTGTTGGAGACAGTAATCAATGAAACAAGCATTGGTGTGGGTTCAGTTAATGTCTTCTATCCCTTGTGTTTAATATGCATCAGAATGGTGACTCTTGTACGGGAATTTGAGGAGAAGGGACCCTAATATGCAGATGGTAGCTATATTTTTCCTTTTCATCAGATGCAGGGGTGGCAACTATTTGAGTTCTTGTCTAGAGTCTGTCATGGACCAGATGATCATGAATATATACAATTTGCTTAAGACAGAAAACTGTGTTGTTGGGAGATCTAGAAAGTGGTAGATCAATCTTTCGTAACTTGGGTCACACACCCCTTGGGAAAAGAAAAGGTTCATATCTTACTCGTAGGAATGCTTCTGTCTCTTTGTTTTTGTATTTTTAGGTGGTAGCCACGTTCAGAAGCATGATTTATTTATCTACATGCTTATTCTACCTTTCTTCAAAGGAGCTCAAAGTGGTGTGTGTGTTTTTCCAGCATATCCTTTCAGCATCCTTGTGCACTTTGGTTGGCATTCTTGGCAATCCAGAGGACTACGGAGTTCACCAATTTTTAGGAGTAAGAGGTATTGACTGACCGAACATCAGCCAGTAACAAGAATTTCTTTGTCGTGAAGGGAAACATACACCAAGGTTGCATACTGGAACATATATGCTTGTCCACAGTGGACAGTGTTAATTAATACTGCCAGCCAGCTATTAAGATCAAATTTGCAAGCCCATATTTCCTTAAATAAATTGATATATATATATATATATATATATATATATCAATTACAGGTGTCCCATATTATTTGGTTCTCAGTTTACAGACCAAATACAAGTACTGTTTTTGATCTTCATCAAGCTCTAAACAGCCTTACACCCAGGATATTTGAATACACAACTCCCGTATGAATCACCTTGAAAATGGTTATCCAGCTCTATGAAGCCCCATTGTTGCTCCTGCTACCCTGTGATGTAAAGATTGTCCCACTCTACTGATGACTCTGACTGTGTGGAACCAAATTCTGAGGGAAATTCAGTCTAGAATGAGAGAGGAAGGGGTTCAACCTTCCTGTATCTATTTTATTTATACTAGAAGGTTACAGTCCACCAAAGCCAACTTTAGTCTGTTTTTATTGTTTTTCTATCATTGCTATTTTCTATATGTTTTTTCTTTTGTTGATGGGTTTTAAACAAAAAAAAAATATTAGGATCTGAATAATTAGAAACCAGAATCTAGATAGGAATAATAAAGTAAACATTTTTAATATAGAAATCTATAATATGGACAAATATTTATTTATTTGGGATATTTCTAGATTGTCCAATCACTCTTCGTCTCTGGATGGCTCACAACATAAAATCTCACTGAAGTCTCATTTTTTGAGTATGGAGTTCAGCCCATCCATTTCATAAATATTTTTTGAGCTCAATTTTACTTGTTTTTAAACAAACAGAAATAGCTGTAAAGAAAACCAAAAAGAAAACAGATATTCCATGCAGATCTTCTGGGAACAAGTAATGATTATGGTGAAAATATAATAGCTGAAAGGTATGGGTACCCTGCTTTTGTTTGAATTCATGCACCTTTATTTATTCCAGGCCTGCAATAATCATTTATTATTATTCCAGACCCGCAAATAATATCAGGCACCTTCAGGCTGTCCTCTCAGTATATGTTTAGGTTCAATTAGGTCAGTGGCTACTTCGTTTGGGAGAATAACTGTTGACCTTTTTTGATTACACTGAATGCCAAACTTTTCATATAAAAATTGCATTTATGAGAGTCACTTCTCAAATTGTCTCTTTCCATTATTGAATAATACAGTGGCATAGCTTGGCCACAATGCTGTGATATCATGGTTTAACTAGCCAAATGCTATATCATAATTCTGATATGTTTGTATGATAAAACCAGACTAAGCTCATAGAGTACTTTTTGTTTTGGGGCCAACAAAGCTTTGGTTTCATGTTGGCTTGCGAATCTGTGCTTGTGGTTTGTTACATCTGAACTCTATTCTGGATTACTCCTTGTGTGCATTGCACCACCACCACCACTGCTTGCCTGGTTACAGAGATATGAGGGGATAGCTGCTTGACAATGAACCATAGATCTGCAGAAGCCTTATGAGGGGGGCACTTTTAAAGAGACCATAGGCTCCCATATCCATATCTAATGAATATCAGTTACTAGCTTTGCTTTTAACATGCTACCAGTTTAACAGATGAGGTTGTGCAGCTTCATCTGAAAGTTTCCCCCACATTGCACAAAATTTTTTTTCTAACAGTTCAAACATCTCCATCTTTAGTTTCCTAAAGGTCAAAGTTCTTGCTAACATGTGTTCTTCTGCTTGCATACCAGTAAATGGTAATATATATTTTAAAACCCCAACAACTTCACAACAGACACAGTGGGAAGCGCTTTTGTTTAGGGGAATTGAAACAAGGTTTTAGCGAAGAGGGTTAGCCAAATTGTGTGGATGGCAGCTAGGAGTGGGGAATGAAAGCAAGCCTTTGGAGTTTGTTTTTTGTTTTGCTTTTGCTCAGACTTGCGCTTAGAGAATCCCAAGCTCTTCAAGAAAGGCAGGGATTGTGTTCCTAGCCCCATTTCTGCAGTAGGCCAATGGTAAATGAAGAGATGGTGCAGGAACATCTTGCCAGTCTTTCCATGTTGCAGAGGGCTTCAGTGTAGCAACCAGGCATTCAAAGGGTATGGGAAGGGGACAACAAACAAGTGTTGTTTCACTTTACATGATTGCTGGTGCTCACTGTGGTCTGAATAAGCCATGGTGGGTTGTAGCACATGCCAGCATCTATTCCAAATATTTAAGCCATGTCTTATACAAACCCAGTGGTTTGTATATATGGTGGGTTGTCTCCATGGGTAGCAAATCACTCACAGCCCATCTTTGCCAGGTTTGGACATCACAACAAGCTGTGCTGGTGAGGGGCAATTATGCAGATCTCACTGATGTGCAGCCAGCACATGCGAGGTGGTGAACAAGCCACCATAGCTTATTATGCTATGTATGGGCACTGTTGAATTGGAGCCTGCCTTACTTAACAAACCATGCTTAAGAATTACACACATCTGCATGACATGCTAAGCCACCCTGTGAATAAGTAGTGTCATGTGAGTTGTTTGCAGAACAACTTGTGGTTCACATGGGTGATGATAGAGCTTACCTGGGCTTGATCTTCCTCTCAGTCTTCCAAGTAGTATCCCAGTGTCCTTCACAGCAGGACCTGACTTATCATTTCCTCCCTGCTCCAATTACTATCCATTTTTGTTTGCTGTTGTTGTTGTTGTTGTTTTTTTTTTGCTTTGCACACTAGCTGAAGCTCTCCTCCATTATTCCATTACTCAGTCCATTAATGCTTAATGTTATTTTTTATCCAACTAAAGACACTGGGCAGGGTCCAAGTGGGCCATTCTGCAAACTGGGCCCACTGTTGATTATGTCTCTCAAGCAACACCACTGTTTGTACAATAAGGATGTAGTATTTCTTTTAGGAAGCAGTGAAATGAGTTAGAAACATTTGTTTCTGAGCTGGTTAGTGGATCTCCCAGATGGAGTTTGCTTCTTGTTTCTAGAGAGAGCGTTAAATCTGGTTGCACAAGTGGCGGATGCTGCTTGCAGAACATAACTGATGGTGGTCTCCACTCATGCAGCTGTCTGCTTGGATAATGCTCAGTGATCCTTTCATTTATTTCACACACTTCTTTATTATTAGCTTAATACCCAGCTCATTTCAACTTTACTTTTCTTTACCCATTCAGTAAGCATCATGATACTCCTTGCACCTGAATACTTTGCATTTAACTGAGGTAATAGGAATAGAAGGTGAACATGAAGTAATGAACATTCACCTTGATAAAACAGAGCCTGCAAACTCTGCCATGTAAGCATCTGTTAGACATTTGATCCCGAGCTCATTTAAAAATAATGACCTGTAGTGTAAGAGTTACAGTAGATGTTAATTACAGAATACAGTTTTGTAAAGGTGAAAGCCAAAGGATTCTATGTTTCAGTTTCTGAATTATGCAAAGGTTGGGTCTTCTAAAATTAAGTGATGGTTGTCTGCCAGTGCATAGATTGGAGCAATTTTGGAGTTTCAAGATAACTTTCAGGAGTTCTACCCTGCATAGCAGTGATTGGCTTGCAAGTGGGGTTTTGTGGCAGTGTGTATATATGCTGCATTTTGTGGTTTGCCTGTTTACCACCCTAGGAAGAGCATAGCCTTGCTTTCACCTCCTCCTCTCAGTGTTACTATTTTACAGAAGAAGAGCAAATATTTGAGAGATGATGCATTGCCTGAGTTTATAGGACCCATAGATAAGTGAAGTTTTGAACAGAGTTTTCCCAGGTCCAAATCATGGCCTATATCCATGCTCTTTCCATTTTGTTTTTAGTCCATGGAACAATGGAAAGAGAACAAAGGAATATCTCTGGAGGTGTGGCCTCAGTGGGAGAACCAATCTAGTTGAAACACGTTATACATTTTCTTGTACTATGGCCAAAAAGATCCTGCAAGCCTACAAAGAATCCTTCTTTAATCAACTGTGCAGTTGAGGCTAGGAACTAACAGAGAATTGCAGACAAGCTGCCAATGTGGTTGTGGGTCAGCCATAGGGAAAAAAGAACCAGTGTGACAAAAATGAGGTCAAGGTGACCCAGTTAGTTGTGCAATAACATGGCTACTCATTGTATGGTTATCACAAGGGTTTAAAAGCTTTTACTAGGCAACTTGTGTTCTGAGACTTCTCAGTATTTAAGTACCTCCTCATTGCCATTTATATGGTAACAGTAGGGTGGCCAAACAAGAGTGGCTTCTGAAAATAATCAGGGTTTTCAATTTAGGCAAATATCAGCTTAGTTCTTCACTGTTTCTAACCTCATCTACCATGATATACTAATGATAGACTTATTTACCTAGGGTTTAATTGGTAACAGTGTAAAAGCACAAATACTACCAAAGAAAGCACAAAGACAAACAAAACAAAAGATATGAGGCTGAGTGTCTTCTCCTGTCTTCTCCAGCGGTGGAGGAGGCTGCACCCATTTTTGCTCTCAACCCACCAAAAAATGCATTGCATCTTCGATCACATTAGCTTTTCCAGGGTGTTAACATACCTTGAAGGATAAGAAGGTACTTTCAGAAGGACAGTGACAAAAAATAGCTCATTTAAATAACATTGGTAATAATTTCAAATAATCTGGAGCCCAGTCGAAAACAAACAGGGAGTGCATGTGAGGACTACTATTTTTTGATCTGTTGAGTCTTTTTCATAACAAATATTGTGGATTTTCCATAGGCATTTTGGAAATGCTGTTCATTTCTGTATATTCAGTCCATCCAAAATAGATTTGTGAATGCGAGGTACAGTCTTGTGTGCTGTGATTAATCACTCAAAGTTTTGATACAGCTTGTATAAACTGAAGCTTATTTGTCCAAACTTGATAGAACAAAAGAGAATTTCTTAAAATTACTGCAAATATGCAGGATTCTAATAAGCCAAGTCAGTGGTGTGTATGTATCCATTACAGTTCTATGTACTCGTTTCTGGATACTTCCAGTT